ATCGCCGGCTCCCGCCCCGAGCGCCTGCCTCTGACTCAGCCGCTGAAGGCCAAGGCCATCTTTTGTTCCCCGGCAAGGAGCTGCGGGCCCGAGTGCCGGCTCCGGGGGTAAACGAGGCCGGCTGGGCCGGGGCTCCGCATCTGCTGCCTCCCCAGCTTGTTTTTTTGGCTAAAACTGCTGCGAATTGCCCTTCCTCAAATGGTCTCTTGAGAGTCGGGAGTCTTCTGTAGTCAGCGGAAGGTCGTGATGATGGGGTCGGTTAACCAGAAGAGTGTTTATTTGTTCTGAATTGAGATGTTTGCACTAAAAACATATATAGCTGTCAGCTCTGTGTCAGTTTATATGGAAATATTCACAGCACGTACTAAGTTACTCTATGAGTAAGTGCTCTGCATCTTAGCTGCTGGAGGAGTTCAGAAGGATAATTGAGTAGAAAAATTCCATCTTTGCCCTGCTTGTTCAGTGGCTTTTTTACGCATTTGAGATCACATTGGTGTTTTGGATGTTGTGCTCCATTGATCATTAAACAACAGGTAGTTGCCATGAAGCCCTCAATTTACAAATGATAGGTACCTGAGGTTTAATTATCTGATGTCATTGAATTTATGTTCATTCTCATATACAGAATGACAGACTGCTGCCTGTGCCTGGATAAATACTCTTCTAAAACGTAGAGCAGTTTAGTTTTTGTGAACTTCGATCGGCCATAGTGGGAAAACTTGCTGCCCTTCACAATACTTGTTTGCATGCATTGGACACTGACCACTTTAAACAAAAAGATGTCTTTAATAAAGCCTCCCCTTCACTTTATCACAGCTACGAGCTAATGAACTTGTGAAATAGAATTTAGACCAGCTCTTGGTTGCAAATATTTTAAATAAATGCTGAATTACTTTTAATGGTTTAATCCTAGGCAGGAGTTTGATTTTTACATTTAATATCTAAAATGCTGGGCAAATGTGGTGTATGTATATGGTGTCAATTTATCGGGTATTTTAATGATTTGAATCTGGTTTAGCAATGGTGCACAACTAGCTCCATGACAAACTTCCTTTGGAGGAAGTCTCCAAACAAACCTCCCCTGCTTATGGAGCTTGTTTTAAAGGTGTTGCCAACTTTTTTATGTCCTAGGCTTTGTTTCTAAAGTAATTACAGTAAATGACTATGGTCTGTAAAGATCCACTTGATCTGTTGTCTCAATTTGAGTTTGGAATGAAGGAAAGCAACGTTCACTTCAAGTTCTACAAGTTGTTAATATAAAAATGCTTCATGTATAAAATAACTTGTGCTAAAGTATGAATATGATGAAGAATAAAGAAGGAATGAAGAAATAACTAATACAGGCGTGCTTTGCTTGCCAGTGCTTCTGTAGCCATTGTTTGCATTCCATTGCTGATTAAAAGTGCTGTAGTTGGGCTTGCAGACAAAGCAGCTGAGTTCAGTGGAGAGCATGAAATGTGTGCAGAGACTTAAATACAGAAATTTGAATACATAAGGGCAATGAGATTGAAAACATGACTTAAAATTTTCAGTGGGAGGGTTCTTGTTACCTCTTTCTGACAATGAAGACAATTTGGAGTCTTCCTCCGCTGATTTTCTGGATTAATCTTGACTGCATGATGGAGGATGGAGAAATAAGCTAAGGATTAGCTGTTTGGTTAAATCAAGCATTTGAGATCCTTTGGAAAGGTTATCCGTTGCAGAAAGCCAACATCTCCTTCACTTGATGATACTGTTTATCTTGCATAGGTGGTACAAGATAACACATCAGTTCTTATGAAAGAAATCACTTTGTTAGCAGTTTGACAGATAACTCCTGAGAAGCGCAGTTAGTTATCCTTGATGGACTAGATCTTGCTTAACATGCCTTCTGTGCTCTGGTCCTTTTTTGGTTTTTGTCTGTTTCTGTTTTAAAGAAACAGTAGTAGCATCACTGAGTATTAATCTTAAACCTTTAAGAACAGCGGAGGCTCCAATGGGAATAAAAGATAGACAGAGTTCAAGTACCTATAATGTGTTGGCTTGCCTGGGATGCTTGAAATGTGTTCTTTCTCCATTTCTAACTTATTTTCATCCTTAATCTTAGATGTGATGCAAGCTTCAAGTCCTTCACACTTGAAATACTAGTAAAATTAGATCAGCCTATATGGTCTACTAAAGCTTGCGCATGTCCAATGTAAGAACAATATTTAAGAAATATCTTTTTAATTACAATTTTTTCAGATTTGCATACCAATAATGTCTATGCTGCAAAGGATTCTTAAGTACTACGTGTCTTAAAAAAGCAGCACGTGCTCAGACAGTGCAGGAAAAAGCTAAATAATTTTATTCAGGACTCTGATCCTAAACACACCCTAACTAACCAAATTTGTTTTTGCTGTTTGATGTACAATGTAGTAATGAGACCATGTGAATGAAACAGAAATGATTGTCATCAGCCCCTTGCAAAAGCTGTAATTTTGTTTAGCTAGATGCCCTATTACAAGAGACACGGCCTTACGTCCCTACTGGCTTTAAGGGGTTGGGAATGAAGAAACTTTCAGATGACGGAGCTCCCTGTAAAGGATGGGCGGATTAATTAGTAAGGTTATAATGTTAACTGTGGAAAGCATAATACCAACAATTAACTTCCTAGACCCCTAACAAAAGCAGAGGGGCTGTGCAGTGCTGCATTTAGATGCTTTCAGAGTCTTCTGAGATCTAACTTTTCATGTGAAGATTTTCAATACTTTAAAACTTCTTTTGAAGCTGTTAATCTTCGCTAGCCAGTGCCAGGCTTCCAACTTCTTTGATTATCTGAAAGTGCATCTGGCTGACCACACCCTCTCATTCATGCTGCGATGTTGTATGTGTTGATGTTCTAGAATGAGTCTGCAGATTTTAAATGCAGAAAATGGAGAAAACGGAGGAAACGCCAATGATGATCTAACAGCAGAAGACTGTGGCTTTTTCTTCGCACCACCGGAACCTACAGGGAGACCTTCCATTCTACGCCTGTCCCAGAAAGAAAACTTGCCACCAAAAAGTGTGGCAAAAGCTATGAAGGTAAACTTCTGCTATTGTATTGATTGTATTCTTTCGCCTTCTATGATCTCTGCTACTGAATGCATATGCTGTTCGGAGCTTGAAAATACTGCGGTGTTCATGTTCTTCCCTTTTCTTCCCCCCTGCCCCGTTCTTAAAGGTAACCTTTCAAACTCCTCTAAGAGATCCTCAGACTCGAAAAATCTTAAGTCCTACTATGATGGACAAACTTGAGACTACTTTCACACTTGATGATTGCAGTGAAGCCTTGGCAGATGATCTTTTATCTGCACCCGTCAATGTTGAGTAAGTAATGTATTCACTGCTAGTAGTATTAGCAACGTGGGATATACTCAAGTTAATTTTTCCCCATTCTAAACCTGTATAGTTAAAGTGTAATTTTGTATTTTATAAGAAGATGTAAACTGCATAAAAGGACCAAAATTAATGCTGACCTTGATGCATGAGCTCTTTTTCAAGATAAAATTTTCTTAAAAGTAGTGACAATTGTCTTGGTTGTAATATTGAATACCAAACTCTATTTCTAACTCCCCAGTAACTGATTTCATAGACATGACTTATGATATAGATAAATAGTTTAAGAGAAAAGAGACAATTAGGCAGAGAATACTGTTTCCTACAGTAAGGTTTTCATGTGAGACTAAAACTATTCTGAAGCTAATCCATAAAACCTAAGCCTTAAAATTTCTTCTCTTGTGTGTTAAGTATGGTTTTATCTCTTTAGATTTTTCTCCTTAAGATACATCTTCTGAAGGATTAGCTTGAATTGACACCTTGAGTCAATGAGCATTAAGATTAAAGAAAATCTAGCAACACAGAGTGAATATAACATCAATCCCAAGTATGAACAAGTTTGTGCACCTTTATAGTCTAGCAGCCTGGGTCTCAGAGTGGCTTGCGGTAGCTGTCTAGAGACGAGCATAAAGTCTGCAGTGTTCCAATTTGGGGTTTTGCAAATCTCCTTTACTAGAAATATTGTTATAATGGTATAATAATACAATATTATTTAATAGGCCTCAGTGCACATTTTTGTTACTGATTTTTTTTCTTAGACCCTTTTAAAACTTGTGTAAACATTTGACATCTCTAATTTCCAGTGGCAAGAAGTCTCAGATCTTAGCTTTGTCTTCTGCAAGGAAATACATCCTTTTGCTTGTTTTTAACTATCCAGTACTTTCATTGGACCCCTATTGTTTTTGGGAAGGGGAGAAAGGAGATAGATAGGAACACTTAAATGTTCTTTAAATGTATAGATTTGCTTTAACTGTTAACTTGCATGTATGCTCTAGTTTAGAAAAGTACTTCTGAGCTAGCCACCACAATTAAATGACTTAATTGCATTTATGGCCCAAACTTACTGCTGACACGAATAAATGAAGATTTGGTACATATAAGGTTCAAGTGAGTTAAAAAGGGCTAGCACTGAATTGGTTTTAGTTAGGGCATAATTATCTGTCAAGGCATAGCTTTTACTGTACATGTCCTTTCTGCTCTTAAAATATAAGGATTTGTTTGTAGCAAATAAGCTGAAGGACTGGGTGTTGCTGAAGGGTGTCGCTTTGCACCAGTCTGAAGTAATTCAAGTTTCAAGCAGGTGTCTCGCTCCCGACTGGCATTTATTAGGTTAAACGCTGAAGGAGAATGGGAGGGGCCTGAGTGGTTGAACAAGCCTGGGGCTGAACTATTGCAGGGAAGAGGCACTCAAACCGGGTGAGAAGGACTTCCTGAACTCTTATCTCCTGCCTTTGCTCTCGGGTTTATCAAAGTGGTGTTTTTAGTGCGTGGCTTTTAATCGTGTTCTGTTCTACAGCAGATATGGATGGCACACAGAAATAATAACTTTACGAAAGGACAAAACAATGGGAGGAAATCCTGTTTCAGGAAGTAATGGCTTAACTCTCTGTAGTCTGAGGCTAAGTCTCAAAAGTTCAGTAGAGTTTGGAGAAATAAAGTGACAAGGAATAACTTGTAGAATAGCCAGCAGTAGTGAGTACACAAACTCCTTCTTTAACCTGTTTCTTCTGCTAGAGAATCTTATCTTTCTCTTACTGGAGAAGTATTTTCTTGTATACCACTTTGCTCTTCAGGTCTGCTGTTGTACAGAGTTTAGTGCCTGAAGTCCAGGTTCTATTTTGGTACGTAGGCCCTCATAGGTGAAATGCTGATGCATGCTTTCAGGGGAAAAATATCTGCCAGAATGACCAGACAAAGTAATGACTAGAATGGGAGAACCTGAATCATGACTCAGTTTAGTCCTTGGCTTGTGAGTCTATCATGACTCAATGGATCTATATGAAGTTGTGCCTCTGTTTTTGCTGCTTACTGTTAATATCTTCTCCTAAGCAATGTATATTTCACTGTCTAGTGAAATGGAAATGTCCATATGCTGTAGAGAGTAGAGCAGTCTGCAGTGATGACTGGCATAAGGTAACATAGCTATGTAGAACAGATAGCTTAAGAATACTGACTAGTTTCAAGGATTGATCTCCCCATAGTTCATGTGTACCAGAGCTCATAACTTCTGACTGTTTAGGTGTCAACTGAATTCTTGTTGTTATGATATTCTTTTGCTGTCAGCTGCCTTATGTCAGAAAAAATCAGATTACTCTGACCATACAAAGCTACTTGTGCAAATGTCTTTCTAAAGACGACTTCAAATGATGTCTAAAAAAATAGCTATAGCATGTGTGATCTGACTGTTTGGTTTTTTTCTTTTAAATGCAGCATATGTCAACAAAAGATTGAAGCTGAAGCAGGTAATACAGTGATAAATACACAAATGCCCGAGAAGGTCAGTGCGGCTCCTTACCCGGATGATGAGATGCCAGTGAAGAGTCGAGGTTCCTACAATCTTGATTTTGATAACTTAAATGACATCAATCCCTTTCAAAGTTCAGTGCAGTTGCAGTATTCTCCTGGAAATCTGCAAAAGTCTCCTGTAAGAGCATCTAGCAGCCCTGAGAGAACTTCTGAAAAAAGTAATGATTCTCTTCTGGATGATACAGCTTCTTTTGCTTCAACCACAGCAAGTACAGAACGCTCAAGTGAAGAGGAGAAGACTCCTTTATCTGGAAAAGAGTCTGTATTGAGAGAGCCGGAGTCTAGCAAATCCAAGCTGTCCCTTAAGCAAGCAATCAGTGACTCTGTGCAGGATGTGAAGTCTGCTTCCACAGATGTGAACCAAACTGATAATTCACTGGGATTAGGAGAAGCGCCTACACCTCCTGTACAGTTATCTGGCAACTTAGGTCCTAGTAGTTCTGATGTAACTAATTCTTCTAAATCTGGGGAATCAAAGCTTCAGAATGTTTCAGGAGCAGAAAAAGCCTCTGCAGAAGAGTCAAAGCCTGCAGAAGAGCTGGCTATCTCCAAAGGGGAACATGCAGAAAAACCTGGTGTCACCAAGGCTGGACCAGTAAAACTGGAATTTGACTTTGATAATACCACTGCTAGAAAGCCACCTCCTAAGAAACTGGGTAAAAGACCTGGAATTAAGCCACCTTCCAAAAAAACTCCTATTACCAAAACAAAAACAGAGAATACTGAAGTGCAAAATAAAATTAATGTGGAAGATGAAATCCCTGTTCCCAAAGCATCTTATGAGTTTGACTGGGGCAAACTTGATGATCCAAACTTTAATCCATTTGGAGGAGGCTCTAAAATTTCCAGCTCACCCAGTTCTAAACCTAGCCCTCAGAAAGTTCACCTGCAAGAGGACCAGGATAGTATGTCATCAAGAAGGGAGCCTCTTCCAACGGAGCAGGATAACAGACCAAGTACCTGTGAAACTCTTGAGAAAAGAGAACCCAAAAGTCCGTAAGTAAACCTGTAGCTGAATGTAAAAGCACCTTGAACTCATGTGGGGAGAAGGTAGTTAGATGGTATCTCTAACTCTAGTTGATTCTTACCTCCTTGACTTCCTCCCTCCGAGGTTGGCTAAGTCTGTTGCACATTGTAACCTTTAACACAATACGTTGCAACAGCAAAGATCTCATTGGGGAAACCATCTTGAGATGGCTAGCTCTGGGCAAAAGGTGTTCTTGAATCTGGAGGAATAGGAGGGAACTGGCTTATATGGGAAGAGCATTAGTACTCTGGTCAAGAGTAAAATGTGGAGAATCAGCTGACTGCTGCTGTCTTTGAAAAAACAAATAAGTAGGCAGCAGTGTTGCACATCATGCAGCATGTGAAGGGACTAGGCTTAGTGTCCTGGCTGAACTCTGAGGTGCTGTTTTTTCCTTGCATGTGCTTGGTATCTGAATGCTATCTCCAACAAAAACGCCTGTCACTAAGTTGCATTTTTTTGGCACCACATAAAACTTTTTGAGAATGGGAGATGTTGTGTTGCCTTTCCTAGAAAGTCTAACTATTAAAATGTCAGCATTACTATATGGTGCTTACCAGAACTAGACTGATGCAAGATGTTCATCTGACAGAAATGTTTGCTCTCTTGCTCCCTGTGTAACATGATCAGCTACTGTTCAAGTTTGTGCTGTCAGCAGTAGCTGAAGTATTGGACTTCTCTAATGAAGTTCTGTGCTTTGCACCAATAATCACTGCATTACTTTGGAAAGAGTAGCAGGCTGCTTGTAATTCTGTTCTTAATTAAACAAAAAGCCTATCTTTAATTAAAAAAATAATAATGAGCTTAACAAATGGAAATAAGAGAACAGTGTTAAGTGAATAGGAGTAAGTGATACTGCTGTGACTTTCTGCTTCCCAGATAACATTGCTTCTGATGGAGGGAGAGCTTTCTGTCATTTAAGTTGTCACCAGGCAAGACAGTGAATTTACATCCCCACCCTCTGTAAAGCTTCCTGTACTGTGGCAGTAGAAACTCTCAAAGAAGCTTACTTTCTTCAGTGCTTCAGTATATCTGGTAATATAGAATTTAGAACTGTCTGTGTGACTTGAATTTTGTGGGTTTTTTTTCTTTAGGGAAATCGGCAAACAGAGTGTGGTAGAAGACAAGCCAAGAACTCAAGAAGATAAGCCAGGAGTTCAAGCAGAAGCTGAACTTCCAGGAGAGATAGCCATGGTAAGGTATAGGAAAGATAGCCAGTTCTTACCAAGTTGTTCCATGAAACAGAGTTCTTTGACTTAACCTTGTCAAACCCATGTTTGATATTTTGTCTAAGAATTAGTGGTTTTATGCATCTTCAGCAGCTCTAGAATGAATATCAACTGTGCAGACTTGTCTTTTGAAGGTAACATCAGAGGCAGCCAAATTGGTACCTTGGTATTTAGTATCTTTTTTGATCAGCAGTCACATATAAGGACAAACATAAGGGTGTGGATTCAAAAAAAGTGACTCCTGTATAATATGAGCTGTACTCAGTGTTGGTAGTTTAGTTTCTATGCCTATGAACTCTTGGTTTATTATACTAGCTGCCCAGCTAGTTTATGACAAACCAATTTGATCATTATTGTGACTTTCATTGCATTTAAATCATTATTTTAGCAGTAAAAAGGATTGTGTTTTTCTCATCAGGAGAAGCAAATGAGCCCATCAAAAATGTCTCCAGCTAATGTCCCCTCTCAAGATAATTTGGTTTCTGCTGACAGTGGAAAAAAGTCAATGCCTGGAGAAGAAATTAAACCTAATTCCCACAGAACTGAAATAACAGCAGATGAGCAGACAGCTAACACTGAACCTGAAGAGCTCTTCAGACCATCATCAGAAGGTAAGGGCATTTCTTCAGAACAGACTGAAAAGATATCGTTACAGTAACCTCTGTGTATGTATTTCTCTACTTCAGTTTTGGCATTGATTCTAATTCTAGTTTTTGTCTCTTATTTTGCTGTTCTGAAAGGACTGTAAAACCTATAATGACTAGCAGGGGTGGGAAATGTACCGAAGTGTATTTCTAACTTTCTCTCGATTAAGCTAAATTCAAAAAGCTGGCTATTAGCATCCAGCTGCCTGGAAGGATGAAGTTTAGGCTGGTACAGAAACAATCTTTTTAGAGTTTCAGTGGCAGCTTTCTGTGCTGAAAAAATGCTCCCTTAAAATCACTTCTGGTATTAAGGACTTTCTAAATGGAGAGCACTAGAGCTCTGCAAGTGCCTTTATTTGTGAGTCTTGTAGATTACTGCAGGCCTTAGCACTACTTGAGTACTGTTTTCATAATGCAGCGTGGATGGTCTTTCTGCACTTGCATGCCTGCCTTGAAAGCTTACTACATAGCTGTGACTTAACCACCTGGAAGGGTTATTCCTTATAGGAGCATTGTGTGGAAGGATGAGCAAATGATTTGACTGCAGTGCAGTCTGTCACTTATCTTAAAACTTGAGTGGAATCAGTATACTGAGAAATGGCTATAACTTCATTGTTCAAATCTGAGCTGTGTGCTAATTTCAATGGTGAGATTGCCAATCTTATTCTTTATGGGGCATCATATAAAAGAGTAGAATATCTGAGCGTGCTTGCCACTTTAACCATAGAACAACAGAAGTTCTTCAACTGTGTTAATTTCTACGTATTCTTACAGGTATTTGGGGACAAATGGAAGCTGTAAGTTTGCTTAGCTTAGAAATCTTTGTCTGATTTTTGTATTTTATTTTTTCAAGTCCAGATAGAAATACAATATTTTTAGCAAATGAGAAACTAGAGCTCATGAGATGGGAACAGGGATTTATTTGCTTTATACACAGCTATTTGTTTCTGTCTGTGGGTGCTTCACTGTAAGACAATGTGACAATATTGCATCTTCATTGTATCATTTCTTTCTTTTCCAGTTCTAGGAATGGGCATAGAAATAGACTATCTGGAACAGTTTGGGACTTCATCAGTAAGTATGACATTGAAATGTTTTGTTTGCCTCCCTGGCAGAGGGGAGAGGAAAGGAAAATGAAACTGTCAGGCCTTAAAAGTTTTCATGAAACAACTTAATTTTGAACTTGCTCACAGAAATATAGGTTCTATTCCAAAGGAATATGTTGACAAGGCTGGGCAGGGGGTGGTGGTGGAAGGAAATGTAGTTATAAGCAATTCTGGTAAGGATCAGAGGTCTCTTGCTTTCCGTTTGCAAAGGTGCTTTTTTTCTTTAATAACGGTGAAACTGAGATGAATGATGTTTCACCTCTCTGGTTGCCAAAACTGCAAGAACATAATGCTTTGAAAGTGCAGGGTCATTGTTTTGAATTTTTTTTTCTAAGCTCGTTTGTTTTATGGGCAGTTTCAGGAAATCTGTCTCTAAATTGGGCATGTTGTGTTTTAATCAGTTCAGCTTAGTTGTTCTTTCTCCTACTTGGGTCCAGAGTAGGAGTGGCTCTGAATACACAGTGAATACACTGAATTGAAATTGTTTTTTGATCATGCTGTGTTTGTCCTTATTGTTGTATGAGCAAAGACGGAGAATGACATACACTGCTCATTCAGCTTACAATACTATCTTCTTCCCTTTCAGTGTCTTCTGCTGGTTTTGACTAGTTCATAAATGTTTGCCCTTTTGGTGCTGTCTGAGCAGACTGAGATCACTTGATATTACATAAGGACTTAAGCGTATGGGCACCAAGTTCTCTTACGTAATTTTTCTCCTGAGAACAATGTTCTGGCCACTGAAGAATAGGCTCACCCTCTCCCCAGAGGATTATTTCTGTGCGTGTGTGGGATGTGTGTGTTATGCTACGAAGCAGCATATCTGCCAGTTTATGCCTCTTTCCTCTCAGTTCAAAGAGTCTGCCTTGAGGAAACAGTCGCTGTATTTGAAGTTTGACCCTCTATTGAGAGACAGTCCGAGAAAACCAATTTCTGGTACTATTGAAACAAATGTGAATATCATGACAGCTCCACTTCAGCGTGGGTAGGTATTGACTTAGTCTGTAGTACATAGCTTTACAAAGAAAGGCAGCGCTTGAATATAATGGTGTATGTTTGTTCATTTTTAGTCCTGTTGCTGATGTAAGTAAATTGCTTGAAGAAGCTGAAAAGCCTGCAGTGAGTCTTCAAAATGAAGAAAAACCAAAAGGACTAGATCTTCTGGGAACATTTACAACTTCTGTAAGGGTGTCCGGAATGCTATCAGGTTTCATGTTGATATTTTGGGAAAGGGATGGGCTAGGTTCTGGAGTTAAGACTTATGCAGATATTCTAAGGATCGCAGAATACTTAGTGCTTATTTAAACTGTTATCTTAAAAGCCAGGTTGCATACTAACTTATATCAAAGTTGAACTTTTTGATGAACTTTTCATTTTTTTTTAAGTATTAAATCTTTTTTGTGGAAACTGGTGGCACTGTACATGGTCTAGGAGAATTTGAGCTGTTTTTAAGAATGCTTTAATCAAGCAATCTTTTTCATGCAACTGAAGCCACAAAAATAAGACAAGCTTGTATTTTAATTGCACTGCTGGGATGAAAAGCAATTCTTTGATTAAATTTGATGCTCTATAGTCTAAAGTTTGTAGTTTGAACAGCCTTTTATGTTCATCCTGAAATGGTGCCTTTTTTACTGGTGGGGAACAGCGTGATGTCATTTGCTTTGTTTCTGATAGCTATAATTGGTGGATAGCAGTTTCTGTTACACCTTAAAGATAACTACATAGTTTTAAAACATATATACAAAGTAAGTAAGTTACAGTAACTAAGTTATGGAGGTGTTTTTGGTGTTTAAGTAAAATATGTTGACTTGGCATCGAATAATCTGCATACAGTTAATCAATGGCATGAAAATAGTCTGTTGAAACTCTACTTTTTTCTCCTCATAGGACACAGGTCCCCTAATTCCAGACTCCCTGACTAATGATGTTCCTCCACTCCCTTTTGCTGCTTCCACAAACACTGCAGTGGATGCTATTATAGATGTGCTAAAATACAGCCAAAAAGACATGGATGCAGCTGTTCAACTGGTTAAGAGAGAGGTATGGTGACCCTTCCAAAGCAGAACTTTGCATAGCCTTGGGAAGTCCCTTTTGTTTAGATTATCTCGTATAAATCTCTATAGTTGATAATTCTTTCCATCGTACTTGACATAAGCATCTCATTCTGAAAAGCTTGCTGTACACTTGATAGGAGCAGTAGGTATAGAACTCTTCAGAGCTAATATCTAAGGAAATACGGTGAACTTCACTATTAGTCAGGTTCTGCCTTAGAACTGATCAGTATTAAAAAGCATCTGTTATCAGATGGAATGGTTTGGCTTAATATCAGTGATCTGAATACTCTTTATATAAAGGCAGGCAATATCTGTTCTTCCCAATGGGACGGAGCGGCTTCTTCTGAGATAATTATTTCCTTAAAACAACATAAAACTGTCAATTCAGTGCAGTGATCAATTTGTGTTTGTGGGATGGGGAGGCACAACAATATATTCAGCTAATAAAATAAAAGTGAGATCTGGAGCTCACTCTGGAGGAGAAAAACATTAATGGAGGAGGGAAGTAGTAGTTGGTGGGATTTTGAGTATGTTCTGTAACTATATCGCTACAGAAATTGCTTTCGAACCCCCATCTTACTGATGCAAGAAGAGTTATGTATCCACTCACTTCAAAAATCTGAGTACTTGATTCATTACGGCTTCTGGGTTATGTAACCTTACAAATACTAAATAATATAAGAGGAGTACTTAAGCATAAATGTCCTTAAAGCTAATTGTGTCACTTCAAAATTAGCTTCAGAAGAAAATGGAGGATTCCAAATGCCTGACTAGCTATACTGCAGGCAGTGACAGTAAGGACACCAAACGAAGATGACCTGTGATTATTTGCTGCTTAAGTTATTCTTTCTCTTCGGAGTACAAAGATACTAGAATTTCTAGGAGTAACTTTTGCTTTCTGTCATTTAGGAGGACACTTTTACTCAGCATATTGTCTAGTACAGGAAAACAAGTGCAGCTTTGACAGGGACAGCTCCTAGTGCATTGATCTAAAATGAAGAATTCATATAATAACAGGGGTTAAAGCTTGTAATACCTTAAAATGCGTGCTCTAATCTCTCATTTCAAAGAACTATTTTAAACATGCAAAATAGTTGTAGCAAGACAGGTGTGACTGGATGACTCCAGCTGTGTGTCACAAACAAATAATGCTTGGAATTACTATATTAACTTGAAAGGAAGACAGACTAAGTTTTAAGATTACGTTTTTGGTGAAACAACTCAAGAGTGGAAGGAGAGGAGAGGAGAAAAGAACTGTTTTCCTTCTGGGCAAATACAGCACTTCATGAAAGCATGCTTTTTTGGGTCTACTGAACCGTTTCTGCTGGGTTTGCAAATAAAAGTTTCTAACCAGCTTCCATCTTCACACATTTTTGCTTTTGTAGCATTTGTTTCTAGCCTAACTATTGTTAATTCCTTCTCTTATATTTTGGTACATTCCTTCACATGTGCCCCACTTCTTGTCGTCTGAAATAATACAAGACATTTAAAATGAGTTTACTCTAAAATACCGAAAAATCAGTGTACTATAGTATATCATGCAACTTTGAGGGGAAATCAGCAGTAATCATGTGTTCTCACCTTCTCTTGTTTAAAATTCCAGGTTGTTTTATGTGTTTTGGGCCTCTGTTGTCATTGAAGGCCTCCCACACTACAGTCAGCTATCAGTGTTACAGTTCTTAATAGAAACCCCAAGACAAAATTAAGTTCATGGAGTTTGCACAAAGCATTTAGCAAAGAGTGCTTATACTGCTTAATCCTGTTACTGTGAGGTCTGCTTTATTTCAGCTGATGTGAAATAGGTATGGTTATTCTTAAATGAACTGAGGTGTCTTTACATTTGGAAACATGGTAAGGGGAGGATTGAGTGTTGAATACAAATGACTCCCAACAATGATTTGATCTTGACTAGAATAGCCTTCTGGTATTTGCTCTTTACTGTTTAAGATTGGCAGATTTGTGTGGCTTATCTTGTCTGCTCTGTAAATAAAAGGGAAATACATGTTCCTTGAGAGAATATTACTTCTTGAGAGAACATTACTGGCCAAAGAACAATGAACTACATATATGATGAATGAGAGTAGCCAAGAGGTTGCTTGAGTTGGCTCTGATCTTGCCATTTGAGAGATATTGGTAACATTGAGTGGGAATCATGTATACAAAATCTGTATATCAATCTACATCTTATTTGACTCAACTTTGTATTGAAATACTTGATATTGAATCTGTTAAGCAGCTAGAACTTATTTTTCTCCATATCAAGTTATAAGTATACCTAACCTGCCCTTTAGACTGTTCTGAGTATCAAATCTTGTATTTCTCCCTGTGCAAGCAATAAAGGTTTCCTTTTTCCCCTCAAAGGTTCAAGAGAAACAGTTGGAGACACAGGAATGGAAAAATAAGTATGATAAGCTTCACATGGAGTACAAGGAAATGGGGTACGAATCTGTCTTGATTTTTGTATCTACTTATTTACTTCAGCTGCTTTTTCTAACTTAGGGTTTTGTCTTTTTTAGAAAAATAGTTGCTGAGTTTGAAGGTACAATAACACAAATGATGGGTAAGTTCCATATTTACGCTTGGAATGGCTTGGGAGGGGTGGGGCATGCTTAGCCTAAGGTTACTAACTGAAGTTAGTACTCTCTCACTTCTGATGGCATTAATATTTCAAGTGCTTCCAGGGTGAGTGTAAGGTTTCAGGCAAGGTAGTTAGAGTAACACTTTTATGCATGTTCATACAGACATGATATCACTTGGTAGTAGTGATGACTTCCTGAATCAGGTGTGAACACATCTAACTTTTTCTTATTCTCCAGTGGAGTGTGAGCTGTTGATTTATTAAAACTGGCAGATCCAGTTGTCTGCATCTTGCATTTAACTGTTTATTATCTGATGCCATTTTAAGTGATAAGATGTCAATAGGAGTTCTTGGTGGACAGACCTGGCCTTTGCTTCAGTCAAGTTTGTGGCTTCAAAGCTGGGAAGACATTAAATGAAACTCTCATATAGGTACATTCTCCTAGCTCAAAGCTGAATAGCCAAGTCCGTGCCTTGCTTAAATTTAGTTCTTCAGGAGGCTGAATATTATGTCAGCTTTTGTGCTTCTTTAAGCCTATGGGAAACAGAGCTCAGGTGTGCCAACAAAAACTTGTCCTGAAAGAGTTTGCTATGCTAGTTTGGCTTGTTATCCCAGTCTCCTCCAGATCGTCTAGCTATTGTGTATATTTAATGAAACGAAATATTTTTGGATTCCTTGTTTCTATCACAACATTTGAGGCTCCAGTTTTGGTAAATTTGGGTGTAGTATTTTGAATACATTGCAGGAGAAACAATGCTTTGGGCAAGCACCTTATAATTGGTCTTTAATGGCCTTAGGGTTGGTGTGAGGTAGTATGTAGCAAATAAAGAGAATATGACTGCTTCCTTAAAAGCAAAGATATGGTGTCGTTTCAGAGGAGAGGCTACATTATGAAATCCTTTTTTGCTTAAGAGGAAGAATTGAAGGTGTGGGGGTTATCTGTCCATACTATGGAACTAGTTTTATGCTAATGCAATAACTATCATGTGTAACCCTGTTAACTTCACTTTCTTTAGAGGATGCTCAGAAGCAGAAGGAATTTTCAAAGAAAGAAATGCAGAGGATGGTGGAAGAGAAGCAACAAGTCATTTCAGATCTGAACTCTATGGAGAAATCTTTCTCTGAACTCTTCAAACGATTTGAAAAACAGAAAGAAGTGCTAGAGGGTTACCGCAAAGTAAGATGCTATAATGCAAATAATATCCTTCCAAGATAAATGAGACTTAGTGGAGAGGAAATGATGAATTTCTAGAGCAACCATTAATTAGCTAGTATAGGCACTACCTGTAAAACCAGGTGCCAAGTTGTTGTTTATTTAAAGATTTTTAAAAATACTGTTTTGTTGTATTTAGTGGCTGGCTTAAGGTATGATAATCTCTCTGTTAGAAACCAAAGTTTCTTCAAACAGAGGAATGAGCTGTTTCTTGCTGCATGCATATCATTTTTCTGTTGATCGTAGAGACAGACTTTCATGTAGCAACTGCTGCGTAAGGGCAGTTGGTTTCCCCTACATCATGTTGAATGGATGCTGAAGAGGATTTGCTATTACAAGTCAAAATGATAATACTTTATTGGGTGTTCTTTAGCTTAAAAAAAAAAAAACCAACTTGGTAAAGTCAGGCCTTCATTCTGTGGTGTTTTCAGAGACTGGAGGAATGAAGCTAATGAGGAGCATAAGCTATGGTTTCTTATTGCATGAAAGGCATAGAAATTGATTCAGCTGGAGTTTAAAAAAGTGCCTCCAGATTTTTTCCTTCAGTTATGTCCCCTATTTACTCAAGCTTAGAACTAGTCTGTTATAAGGTTCATGGTAGTCTGGGTTTGAGAAACAGGCATAATGTCTGCATTATGACTTAAGTGTTAGTAAAGCAGAAACTTGTCAGACTTCCTTTATCTTGTGTCCGTTCCGTCTCTCCACCCTAAATTCAGAAGCCCTTTCCTTAGCACAGAGTGCTAAGGAAAAATTATTAGTGACCTTAATTTCAATGACCTTTCCCCTTTAGTGAAGTTTGCTACTAAATAAACAGTATGTTGAGAGGGAAATGGGTGAATAAATGTTAGTTTGCAAAGTTAAGAGAATTGAAAGGGGGAACTTCAGTCCTATGTAGGTCTGTGGGTCTTCACAGTTGTTCCTGTTATTCTGATGAGCAAATACTACCACTTCAGTGTAGTCAAATAGCCCCTTTGTGAAATGGAGAGACTCTTCCATCTACTAGCACGTAAGCTAAGCTTCTTGTTCTTGGGACAGAATGAAGAAGCTCTGAAAAAATGTGCTGAAGAATACCTGGCTAGAATTAAAAAAGAGGAGCAGAGATATCAGGCACTAAAGGCACATGCTGAAGAAAAGCTGCATCAGTAAGTACGATGTCAAGAAGCCAAGTACTGGGAGTGAAATGTATAGTTTTTACAGTTGCTGTAAAATGTGGTTCATTAATGCCAAAGCTTGGCTTAAAACATTTTTAGTTTGGAGGTTAATCCAAAGTATAAGAATCTAGTGTGATTCTATGAACAGTTTTGCTGTGCTGTCTGAAGGGAATGAAAACACCATCTTGCTTCCATTTCAGAGCAAATGAGGAAATTGCGCAGGTACGAAGCAAAGCTAAATCGGAGACTGCAGCACTACAAGCTAGTCTCCGCAAAGAACAAATGAGGATCCAGTCTTTAGAGAGGAGCCTTGAACAAAAGGTTAGTCAAAATGCCATGAGTGAGTCTCTCCAAGCTATTGCCTTAGACTACGTCAAGAACTGCCTTGTATCACTGCTAGAAATAGCTAGGCTAACTGCTCATTTTGATGGCTGCTGTGGTGGCTGGCTTTGGGAAATAGGCATTGAAACTTAAGGCACAACTCTCTTATGTCAAGACTCATCTGTATGTTTAGATTTTCTGGAGCAAAAGGTTTGTTCCCATAGGTAGGTAGCAGAAGCGATCAATCCAGGCTACTGTATCAGGAGGTTATCTGAACTACTGAAGGAGATGGTGATCTAAAACTTAAACATGTCCCAGAGCAGAATCTGGGAATGAATCTTGAATAACTGTCTGGTTCAGCTTGTTCATAAATATGATTTGTAATCTATTAGTACTAATACAGACTCTTTTGTATTGACTGAACTCCTTCAATCTTGTTCAGGCCATTAATCCTTGTATTTGATTGCAGTGTTTCGTATTGCATAGATAAAGTCTTAGAATGTTTTGTAAAGGCACACTGGTTTCCTTTGCTAGAACCCTTCAAAGGAAAAAGCTTTTTGAGGGTTAAAAGTCATATTGCTGGAAAAGCATGCTATTAGTTTTACTGCATCATGATTGTATCCTTGCCAGCATTGAAGACTCAAAAATAGATAATGCTGACACATTCATGTTAGGGAAAGGTCCCATATTTGTGTTAGTCTTCAGGCTTATGGTTAAGGTTTGCATAGCTGGGCAAACAGTAGGCCTGTAACTTGGGAGATGAGACAAGCCATTGAACACAGAACTAGTTTTGTTCCTGTTATAAATACAGTAACATTTTATGTTAAGAACTCTTATTAAAACAGTTTGACCATATAAGGAATTAAACAAACTGGAAATTATTGCCACATGTCAGTAAAAGTATCAAAGCATCATCCTACAGAGTTGTCTGTTTTGTGACAACTAAAATCTAAACTGTCACTATCTTGAATTTCACTATTTCTAATAAAAAAGGCTTTGAGTCTGAACAGTCTTATTTCCCTGGATCAATTGGTCTCCACGTATTATGGGAAAGTCTGCAGAAGTAGTAGAGACAGTACAGTGGATTCTGGCTTGCTGCCTGAGGCTCTTAAGGTTGCCATGTGACCTTCTACAAAGTAGACTGTCCTTCAGAGTAAATTTGCATGAGTCACTAGCATGTAAATGGACTTTCTGTTCCATGTGTTGGCAAATGTGACTTGTTGCAACTCAGCTCACTACATAGATGTAACATAGCTTAGGCATACCTGAAACTCACTTCTTTTTTTCTGTCTTCAACAGACTAAAGAAAATGATGAACTAACAAAAATCTGTGATGACTTGATCTTGAAGATGGAAAAAATTTGATAGCTTAACTGTCTTGTAAATATGTCTAGTCTCCCTGACTTCCTGTCTTGTATGTTCACTTGCTTCTTTTTAATTATGTATGTGGGGAAAAAATAAAACTCTTGATTTGCACTTGTCTTGCATATTATTAGCTGTATCTTTTGTTGGAAATAAACTGACAAGTTCATGAATATTTAAGTTCAGTTGCTGCTTCTGGTAGGTAACAATGCCTTGCGTAACATTTTCATGTGTCACTCGAAGGAAAAACTTTTAATCGTCCCACCCTCCGTCTTTTCCCTGTGTAAAAACACCAAGGTTCTGTACTCATGACCTGGCTTTGCTGGTGAGGGTCAGCATCGGCCATGTCTCTATTTTGCGCTTCCTGCTGTCTCACTTAAATTAAAACATCCTGGAGTTACAAGATTGTAATAAAACTTGACCTGTCACAAATGCTATAAAGTAAAAACTGAAAGTTTAGGCAGACTAGATGTCATATCCTGTCAACAGCCACCTCTAGTCCCTCTTTGTAAGAGACGTTTGCTTATTGGTGTGAACATTCAGAGGACTTACTAAATGTTTGCAGTAAACCAAGCCAACTACTAATCTTGAAAGTGAATAATAAGCAAAATATCTTATATGGTTGTCTTGTACTGTATTTGCAAACAAAACATGGGGGAAGGGGTGGGATGATGATTTTTTAATTTAGTGATGCAAAACAAAAATTTGGAACTTCAGGTTTGTTTTTTTTTTTTAAGAGGAGCTGGAGTGATTCTGTCTTTGCAGACAAGCTAAGCAAAGTACTGAATAGCAGGACAGATTGTTTGCTACTCTTATCTCTGATTTTTTTTCATGTCATTTGTCTGATGCTATTGATTTTCCATTCACTGGTCAAGAGCTCCCTGCCATTTGCCTGTAATGGAAAGCCTTGAGAGATGTATGCTGCAGGTCACAGGTTATGATTAAGTCAGCTTTAATTAGGGCAGTAGCAGACATCTCAGATAAGCTGTTATTACCTAACAGACATTAACAGGATTGTCTCATTGCAAGCTACAGCTTTTTATTTCTAATATTACTGGGAGGTCATTCCCTCACTTGACTGGCTAGTAGCTGCATTTTCCTCTCAGAAGGGCTGTTGCTGCTGGGTGTGCCTCTTAGCTGTGCTTGGAGCCCTTCCCTTACATGTAAGAGGTAGTCTGCCAGGGCAGGTGGAAAAGTGAGTAGCTGTGCTTAGGAGATCTGGGGTCTACTTTTTGGTTAGGTAGCTACGGATCAGTATTGTTACGTTTATTGGCAACTGTATGTAGCAGGAACACTCTATAGAGCAGAGCAGGTCTACAGTTAATTAACACACTTTGGGTTCGTGGTATGTGATGTTTTCTTTGTGATTTCTGTATTAACCTGACTCTGTCAGTATGAAGTCAGTAGCTCCTGCAGAAGTTGCTCTGCTCTATGTTTTCCTTAACTTACTGCTTAGGAAAGTGCCAGATGGTAGCAGAGAAAAAATTAGTCATAAAACAGAATGTACAAAAACAGTTTACTCCCTGCCTCAAATTCAGATAGCAGGGATTACTCAAGGCTGTGTCTTGGAATGTGCCTTTGTAATAGACTTAACCATACAGATGAGAAATCTTGTACTTGGTCTAATTTGTGAACTGTCTTGCCCGTGTGTGTTTAATTATGGAAACTGATTTCTGTTAAAGTCCTCAGTGAATCCTGAGGTTATAGGCTGATGTAGCCTATGGTTAGATAAGGTTAAGCATGCAGCCACAAAGGGTAGGCCTGCTCTTTCCCCGCTGGTGTTGGATCATCTCAGCGGTGTGATGAGCCAGACAAACTGGTCTAGGGGAAAGGGTGTTGACTGGATGAAACTGCTGTTCTGCAGTGGATCAGTGTGCTGTGCAGGTTCACTTTGTACATCTTGCACAAAAAGAGGGGTAGAAAAGGGCAGAGTATTTCAGCAGAATCCCTGGCTAGATTAATGTAAGGCTGAACTTGCATTATTAATGCTATAAACTCAAATTATTAGGAATAAGCCTGCAATGCTAAATCTTTCCACAAGATGTAGCTGCTGCTCTTTGAAATATTGGCTGTACTAGACTGGGCTGTCTCTTCAGCCCAGAGGTGGAGGTTGTCCCTCTCTTCTCTAGTTGCACTTAATGCTAACAAGAAAATTGTTCTGATAAATTTCTGTTGGAAACGATAAAGAGCTGCTAAGTGATTCTATGCCAACGGACTGCATGTAAATAGTGACAATGCTATCTGGAGTTTTTGTGCTACAACTACCAAAGTAGTAGTATGCCACTGTGTGCGCCTTTAGGCAACTGCTGCATAAGGGAGCACTGGGCTCTTCCTTACCTTCCTTTATTCCTTCAGGGTAAAATGGCTTTCTACTATTCCCTCTGTCTTTCTACTATGTATGTAGAATGTCTCTGGTCCAGTAGGTAACTGGATGAAGGGAGGAGAGACTTTAAACCTATTTGTACTGTTGCTTCTGTTGCTGTTGCGGCCTTACAGACATCACTGTCCCCAGGCTGCTGATCGAGGTGGATACAGAGGAAGAAGTGCAGTAGAGACCAGCATACCAGATACCGGTGCTGTGGTAGTGTCAGTGCCTGACAATTCTTACTTGGTCTATTATCACCCATGTTATCAAGAATCACACCTTCTGTGGCCAGTTATTGCCTGTTGATATTAGATGATGGAAATTGCACATCAGCGTAATGTGGAAAGATGGCACACCGCACTCCTACTGTAATCTGTGACCACCACCTGAGAAATCTGCCCCAGGCTTTCCTGTTTCCTGATTGTGTCAGTACTTACAGGAAAACTGACAGTATGTGAAAACCAGTGCTTGAATGGAGATCGTTTTAAATGCTTGGGTACTGAAAAGGATGAGTGAGCAGTTTTTGAATGTGTGAGTCCCCAGGGCTTAACTTCAAGGCATTGCCTAGCTTTCAGCTTGGATAGCTATATTTTGCTTGCCAAAGGTTGGGGGGCCAGGGGGCCCTCTGGATTTTTAAACTGCTTGGAAGGGATGGCTTATTTTTCTCTGCAGGTGCAAGATATACCTCCAACTTAACACTCACACCATCTGTAAGAATTTAGTATTTTGTAATTCCTAGCTGAAAAGTATTGTTTAAATGTCACCTTCCTTATTTTAAAGAATCATTCTTGTTACTATCCTTCTAATGTTGGACAGTCCCCTTCAGAAGAATTCACCTTTACAGCATACAATATAGGTGGCCAGATGCACATTAATGAACTTGTGTGAGCTGTTGTATGCAAAATACATGCGTGTTTCAGTGGGACTAGTTAGTGTACACTTACTGAGATAAGAATCAAGCTGGCTGGTTTGTTACCTTATTGCCATTTACTTACTGAGCCTCAACTGATGTGAATTGGCCTCTCTGCAAGCAGATAATAGGAGGGAAAACTGATGCTGCTTGGTGCCTCTGCTCACTTGGTTTTATTTATTATTTATATGAACAATTGCTAGGTGCTGTACAAACAGAGGATGACAGTTCTTGCTCCGGACAGCCTGTTCCCGGTTGAAGTGGGAGGATGTATTTTATTTCAGAGCTGATTGGGGTGCATCAAAGGTACTGAACATGCTTGCATGATCTAACAGCATGGTGTGTTTATATCAAGGGCTTCCACAGCTCTGCGCTGTTAACACCTTTTCATGGCATTTCTTGGGTTCTCCAAGAAGTCTTGAGGATACATATCTGCCTTTGGACTCTTCTTGACCATACTACCAGGCAGGCAATCTGTGCCATATACCTGCACTGATGTTGGTCAATCTCTCTTGTAATGAGATTTTTTTTCTCCCCTTAGGCTTCCAAAACAAACATAACTGTGTAGCCTTGCCTACTGGTCCAAAGTCACCTTCTTTCCAGCCATTTCCATTCCTGTCCAAGGAATGGTCCAAGCACAGACTATAGTCTCTTGCATAGTTAAAGACTTTGGTTCAGAAGCCATGGCTTAAACCCTGCTGGATTCAGGGAATGTCTCCAGATTGATCCTAGAGTCAGTGGGTTGGATTCTGACCAACTTGCTGGTCCTTTTATGCTGCTCTGACAGCACAGAGTAATTAAAGAAATGCCATAGTTTGACATGAGGGAATTTCAACAGAGTCATCTCTGTGTGCAACTGGAACCAGGCAAGGGCTGAATCAAACTCTGACTTCAGCTGGACATCTAAACATACAGCTTCACTTCTAAGGTTGCAATTTATACCTCCAAAGCAGGTATAACTCATACTTTTTCCCCTTCCTCTTGTAAAAATTTAAATTGCACAGAAGAAAACCAGAGAAATAACGGACCGTCTCCTGTTTTTCCTCAGTTTGGAGGATGGATTTATTACCTGAATCGGAAAACAGCAGAGCATTTTAAAGCAGAAATGGGAAATTAATACTATTTTTCCGTTAGAAAACAAACTTATAAAGCATTTAACTGCAGCATGCTGTCCTTGGCTGTATGAGGAGCTCTCCATCTTTTCAGAAATCATTAGCCCATGACATGACTAATCTTTTTTACGGTTTTGAAAGACCTGTGTGGTTTTGACTTTGTCAAATGGATCAGTCACAGCATCTACTTTCTTACAGATTTCTTTTCCTTTCCAGTACACCTAGTGCAGACAAGCTAAATCCTCAGCAGGAGCGAAGGGGAAGGAAGTTCCTTGCGAGTTTTGTCCTATTTTTGATGATAGTGCCAGTAAAATTAACTGCAGTTTACATCAGATATTTGCTTTTCAGTGCTTGCTGCCAGGTTTTTGCCAATGATGTCTTGCTGTTTGAAAGTCTTTCCAGTAGTTTGCAGACTCAGAGCCTATGTCAGACCCTGATTTTTCTCTCTGTTGGGAGAGTTTCCCAGTGGTGAAGTCCTGCTGTCCTTAAGAGGGCTATGGTGTAACTTTATCCATCCCCGTGGAGTCTCTCCTGACTCTTGGTGTGCGAGAGGACAGTCCCTTGGCTAGTGTCACCTGTCAGAGGACTGCAAGGGTTGATGGAATTGAGCTTGTCCGACTATGTTTGTATGATAGGTCTCAGTGGCCCAGAAGCAGCTGTGACAGTAATGGGGCTAACACGTGTTATGCGTTGCAGCAGAGCACCAAGCGTGCTCATATGTATCGTA